CGCCGTAATATTTGCATAAGTTTACAAATCGTAAATCTTACGCAATACTTCGCATTAAAAATATTCCTGATGTAGTAAAATATATAAGTTTAAAATTTTAATTTTTTTTATAATAATTTATTATTTATTTATCTTTAAAAAATCATTAATTAATTACTTTTTTTTTAATTTTTACTTAGTAAATATCATAAAATATATTATAAAAACATTTAATTTTTATAATATATTTAAAATATTTAAAAATATTTAAAAATGATTGTAATTAATAAATAAAATTCTACAAATTTGTAGACAAAACAGTTGAAAGGATATATCTTATAATGCTATTAAAATTAGTTTTTAATTTTATTTGTTTTAATAATACAGTAGTGGTTATAAGTATCTGACCGCTTCTAACTCCAGCTACAAGTAAGTAAATTCAAAATTTTTTTTATTTAAAAAATACATAACTAACTAACTAAAATTAATACATTATGTAGTTACCATCTGACTTTATAAGTGCAGCTGTACGTCTTTTCATGCTAGCTACTAAATTTGTGGCAAGTATAGGTGATAATCAGTTCTATTCTTTTGTAAGTTTTCCCTTTAACCTTTTAATTGATTGAATTTTTTTTTTTTGTATATTAATTTTCATTAACCTCCAAACGTTTTCTATAGGGTTTTGGTTTGGAGATATTGATGGCTAAAAAGTACCTCAATGCCATTTTCTTCCTACTATTTTTTTATTATTTTTGATTGATACTTTAAATTATTATCTTCTTGCAAAATCCAATCTATGTTACCTTTACCAAAAAGTTTAAAGGTGGAAGCCAGAAGACCCTACTCATAAATAGTATACATAAATTCAGCATTAAGATTCCTCTGAAAGCAAAATAACTTACCAAATCCAGAAGTAGAAAAACATTTCCAAACATGAACTTTTGGTAGATGCTTAACAGAATAAAACACCTTTTTTCTACCAGGAAACTGCCAAACCTTTTTTTTGATATATATAATTGAAATGTACTCTCATCTGTAAAAATAACTCAATTCTAATCAAAATTCTTATATTTTTTTTACCCATTGCAATCTTTTCTTTTGATGGTCTTCTTTAAGCAAAAGTTTAGAAATTTCATTACTAAACTTTCCTCTAGACTTATGAAGACGTCACCTTACTGTTTCTACACTAAACCCTATTTTTTCTTGTATTTGAATAGCTGTTATATTATGTTCTTTCTCTGCTATCTTTACAATCTTATTATCTTATTTCGTAGATGTTACATAAGGCTGCCCGATCTTTCTAAAGTACTTAGGTCCTGATTTTTATGATATCTTTTAACTCAATAAATAGCTGTAGACTTACTATAACGTACCTATTTAGCAACTAAACTTTGGACTAACTGGGTGCTTACGTAAAAAGATAATTTTATATTATTTTTCTAAAAAAAGTTACATTTTTCAAGCGAAAGTTTGATGATCATCTAAAATTTTTTTTTGTATCATTGACACTTATAAATTTACAGGTGATCACATATTATATTACATTATATTTCTAGAAAATTTAAGGGGTAGTTATATAATAATTTTAGATAATCTCAAGTGATCAGATACTTATGACCACTACTGTATATACTTTATTAAAAATTATAAAAAACTTTATTTTAAATATTATATAATTATAAAATTTAAAAATATAAAAAGTAATTCTTAATTATGATTATTATAAAACTTAATTTAAATTAAGTAAATATTAATGATTTATATTAAATTTAATATATAAACATATTAAAATTATAAATTAAAATTAAATCTAATTTTACATTATAAATTTTCTGAAATTAAAGAAATTTTTTATCAAAAACCTAAATAATATCTTCTAATATTTATTAGATTATTATAAAATTTATTTTTTTTTTAAATTTTATAACTCTCAATATATATTATTGTAAAAAAAAATTCAATAAATTATAAAAAATAAAATTTAATTATTTAGATATATAATTAGATTTTAAAAAGCAAAATTCAGATTATTTTTTAGCTAAAAATATAATTATATATCTTAAAAAATCATTAAAGAATTTAAATAACTATTTTGTTTTAAAATTTTATTTTAGATAGAATTTTATATTTGACTTATATAATTGTAAAGTTTTGTTAAGTATAATCAAGCTTAATAGAAATTACTTTAAAATTAAAGGTTTTTTTAATCTGTAATTCAATTTAATTTAATAGAAACTTATTTTAAATATTAATTTATTAAATTTTAAATTTAATTTGAAAAGAATTAATTTTATTATAATAAAAACTTGGTTTAACTATTATTATAAAATAAAATTATTTTTTGAATTTAAATTTATTTTATTGCTTAGAGTGAAGTAAAAAGACTATATATGTTTATATACTATGAAAATAAAATATCACGTACAGTAACTTATACATTTTTTTATTTGTATTTGTGATCAATCATTCAATAATATCATTTATAATAATATATTTCATTTCTAGTATATATAATATATATAGATTGATCACTTTTTAAATTGTTATAAAATATCTAACATATAAACTTTTATTTATTTTTAGTTAATCAAAATGCAGATTAATATTTTATTAGATTCCCATTATCGCAAAGAATAGCTTGAACCTGATGTAACATAATTTGATTAAATTACGATATAATCTATAGATATCACATCCTATTATTATAAAGTCAAGAATTTAAAAATACTATAATATATGTAATATGCTACAACAAAACCAAACAAAGCGAACATTTATATTACCAAAAATTTAGGAATCAAAATTTAGTTATTATCATCACAATTGGTTTTATAATTTCCTATTTATTATCTTAAGTGATATATAAAAATACTATTATGCAATCTAGTTAATTTAGTTAAAGATTAAGAAACATAAGAGTTAATTATGTCATCTAATATTTTTTATTTAATATAAAAATTATTTAATTACAATTTTGTGCTGACTTGAGACAAATGATGTTTTTTAAACTCATTCTTTACAAATAGACAAATATTTGATAAAGATAAATTTGCTGCTCATATTTCATAGGAAAATGCATAAGAGTCAGAAATTATAAGACCTTAGACTTTGTTCATTGTGAATTTATTAATCTTTAATAATATGAATTCCTGAAAAGTACCATTGGTGATTTCTTGTGTTTTGATTATACCAGGATTAGTTTTAGTAAAAATAAAATACTGAATAATAAAAACATCAATGTGCATCAAAGATAATATAATAAAGGTTTAACAATAATATTTAAACTTTAATATAATTAAAAATATATACATATTAAAAGCAAGATAAAATAAAAACTCATTACAACTACTGACCAGATGCCAAGCATAGTCATAATGATTACCTTTATAAGTTAGAATGATTACTGATCAGACGCCAAGCATAAGCACATCTTGCTTATACTTCTACCACAACTGCCGGCTGGCTGTCAGGCACAGTGTAGTAGGGCTGCAAAGGGAAATCCCACTAGCAGGATACTAATGTGATTGTTTTCACTTTACACTTCTATAAGTTAATCACCAGCTGGCCACCAGGCATGGTAGTTATGGGTCTTCTAACCAATCACTCCCTTTGGTCTAAAGATAGAATCTTTTTTAGATTTAACCTTGCTTATGTGAATACTAAAATTTTGTTTGAATAAAGTTGAATAAAATTATTTTTAGTTTTAAAAGTTACAAACAATCATACTAACTTTGTATAACAATAGGTATCACTCAAGTTCTTAGTCAAACTTTATGAAATACTGGATCTCAAGTGGATCGTATGAGCTAAAATGAAAAGGATCGCTTCAGAGAAATTTTCATTTTCAGTTATTAGAGAGTTCTAAACCCTTATGTTTTTTAATTAAACCCTATTGTAGAACTAGCATAATTCTTTTCCTTTTGTATATTTGCATCAATTATGTATTAGAATAAAAAAGGAAATTAATTAATTAATATTTATAAAAATACATACACATTTTTGTATTTATATTTATATATTTACCTTTTAACAGTTTTCCGCTGTTCTGCAATCATTGTTGCCAATTATTGAAAAATGTTATTATGCTCAGCTATTGTTGATTAAATGAACTCATTCAATATTATATGAATTTAAATATAATTATTCTTTAAAGACTTTTATGAAAAAAAACTTTCTTGCAAATTCACTCTTTACTATTACTAGTTTTCAATGTTCTAATTTATGCCTTACTTAAAAGCCATCATAATCACTTGAGAACCTTTGACTGATTAATTCTACTGCAACATAAAAATCAGCTGTTCTATCTTTATAGATCTTTTTTTTATTATAGATTTGTAAATCGATATTGTGTTATGAAAATATTGAGAGATTTATTTAAAATAGCAAATTAATATATCATGTAATGATGTTCATCAAATATAGACTTAATCTATGATAAACAAATTAATAACTTCTTTTTCACTTTAAATAAATGGATACCATTGAAGAATCACGTTTAAAATATTTCGACTATAATGTTCTTCTAAAAGCTTAAGTTTACATAGATATTTCATAATAAGACTAGCATCTAAATGGTATCTTGAACGGAATAATATAAAACAAAGTAGTGAAACTTACGTGTTATTAATAATATTTGATTATTAGAAATATGTGGGTGAAAATGCAAAATTTCAGACATTTGAGAGCAAGCATGCAACTGCCAATAAGAGGGAAGACACCACTACCTCTGGAAATCACCTCTGAAGATAAGAGTGTGTTTCTGATAATACCAAATTCAAGGATGATGAATAATAAAAAGGTTAAGCTGTAAGTTTATTGCTAAGTACTTAAGTTTGACATTACTTTACTTTGGTTAATTCTATCCCTTATATTAGATATAAATCAATCTCTATTATATGTGTATTTAGTGTCAATTGGAAAAAATTATCAGAAAATGATTTGCAAACCAAATCTTTAAATATCGAAATCAGCCATCTTAAATTTATATATTTATTAAGATAAATAATTTTCAGACAATTTTTTTGTAAATAATATTAATTTACATTTTGATTTTTGAATAATAATAGTTGGGTGAGATGATATTCAAAGTAAAGGATGTATACTTTGTATATTAGGTAATTCATAAAAAGGATAGCTTGATAATAACAAATGTTAGTCAAGAATATTTAGAGAATGATAACAATAATATCAATACTTTGTCCTTTCCTAATATATCACTAGGTGACGGTAATGATAATAATAGTGATATGGTATCACTTTATTCTATAAGGTCTGAATGATCTTACAGTTATCCTATAAAAAAGCAAATTCATTTGAGAATCATTTCATAGTAAGAATAATCAGATAAAAATTAAAAAGATGGTGGATGCAAAAAAATTCCAGTAATAAACTTTAGTTAAGGCAAAGATTGATATTAAGTACTGATAAAGTTATAAGTTTTATTTAAGAGTAAAGAAGTTGCATGATCAATCCTCATTTCAGAGTCAACAGATCTTTATCAAAAAACTATAACTGGAAAATTCCATAAGGCCTACTAAACCAGATTAGCAGACACAATCCCCATCTGTCTAAATTTTTTATCCCACTTTTTTTAATCATTTAGGAGTTTCTGAACAACACAACGAGTGTTGTGATATGTCTTTTTTTTCTCTATCAATAACTGTTGAAACAAAAATGCTGGAGTAACCACTTTTTACAGAGAAAGAACTTGATGTATTTTTTTGTATGAAATGTTTTCAGCTTCTTTGTTGATAAGCAATAAATGTAGATATGATAAAAAAAAATGTATTAGAAATACAAATATTTTTTTACAGCGTTATTTATAGGAACTTCTTATTTATAAACTAAAGAAATATAAGCTTTTAATGCGATTGATGTATTACTAATATATTGATCGACAATGTGAAATTGTTCTATTTTTAGAGGAGAATTAATCAAATATAGTAACTATTCAGCATAAACTATCAAAAAGATCTCAGTTTCGTGACTTCTGTGATTTAGATGTAGCTTACTAATTTTAGCCAAAAATTGATTTTTCATTATAATTTCGTGCTTAAAGTTATTAAATAAATTTATTGCCTGTCAATTTTGTTACAGTATTTTTAATATAACTGCAATATTTATATTATATCAAATAAAAATAATGGTATATAATTTATATATTTATAAAATTTATGTAATATAGTTGATAAGTTTAACACTTTGTTTTCTATTAAATATAGTTTTCAAATTTTCAGATCTAATATAACAAATATTATGAAAAATTACTACAAATAGTGAGTATTGTTTGTGTAACCTTTTTATATCAATGGTGTTATCCTTTTCCTTTAATATTTTTAACTAATTTAATGATAGAATCAAAAGATTTTTTTTTACAGATTTGCATTATTTAATATTACCAACCAATTTCTGTTCTTTGATAATAAAAAGTGTTTATTAAGTTATATCAATCAAATCATTAAAAATATCTCTTTAATTAATTTATTATTTGTGAATAAATTATTTTTAGAATTATTATTTTTCTTGTTTTTTATATAAAATAGCAATATATTAATCTCAATCAAAAAAAAGTTTACAAATTTTTTTATATTATTAAAGAATTCAGATATAGCATTTCCTTTGATTTATCAAATATTTGTAAATATTAAAGTGATTTTTTAAATAATATAGATATCTACAAACTCATCAACTTACATTAGTAATATATATATGATTAATATACTATTTAACTAATTTTTTTTATACAAATTTAAAATTTTGATTTATTTAAACTTTAGTTTTCTGATTTAATCTGTTATAAATTTTTTTACTAATGAATAATTACTTTTTTTCATTATAATATATATAACAAAATCTATTTTTAAGTAAAAGAATTTATATAAAAAGTCTCTTTAATTACCTTTCAATAATTTTCAATAAATATAGTAATTTTTAATATAGAAATCATATCTGTGTAAGATAATTATATCTATAATTTCTATTTTATATTATTGTATCATTCAATTCAAGATATAACTAAAGTGATATTAAAAAATTATTTTTTTATAATATATATATCATATAAACAAATGCTTTATAAATTATATTTGTAGTTAAAAATTACTCTTTATCTGTTAAAATAATAATGTTTATATAGATATTTTTCTATATATTTTACATAGCTTTTTTGAAGTTTTTTAAAATAAAATTATGCTATTTGATTAAAATCATTAAAAAAAAATATTTTTCAAGTTTTAAAAAAGGTTAAATCCTAAAGATCTGCTAAATTTATTACTTAATAATCTTATTATAATAGTTCTTTTAGCATACTACTTATATAATTAAATTTTATATTATTACTAAAGTAACTTACCTATAAAAAATAAAATTAAAACCTATAAAGCAATATTGATTAACTAAATAAAAGGTAATTGTATTTAGAATAACTTTTTTCTATAATTGCATTCTTAAATAAAATTAAAATATATAATAAACTTTGATCATATAATAATATATATATCTCTAAAGAATTAAAAGTTCTTTATAGATAGTATATCTATTTTATTCCTTATGAAATAATGATAAAAGACTTTTTTTTATAAAATTTATAACTAAAGAAATATCTTTTAAATACAATATTAATGTTTTTAAGTTTTGAGATAATAGAATATATTAAGATAAATAAGACATTAATTGCAATTATAATTTAAGTCAACTCTATCTATAATATCATGAAATTTACAATAATATAAAAATATATATATAAATATTAGTTCAAAACTAATAATAATATAATTTATAACTTAATAATACAAAAAAAATGGCCTTATAGTTTTAATGATTTGATTGATATAACTTAATAAACACTTTTTATTATCAAAGAACAGAAATTGGTTGGTAATATTA